TTTTTTATTTGTCATTCAACAAAAAGGATTAGGCACAAGTTATCTCAACTTAGAAACGCCCTCTCCCATACATTTCATTATATTGATTACATGACAACAACAACAAATATATTTATAATATATATGAACAAAGAAGAAAGGAAGGGAAAAGGGAAGAAAAGAAATTTAGAAGAATAAGAAAGAGAGATGATAGGATAATACTACTGACCTTAAAATCTGTTACTATTTTTAATGTAGGTTTGGACTATATGGAAGATATTTTCATTGTCTTCATCTGACAAATTTGGAGAACCGTACATAATAACATTTAGAGAAATATTACAATAACGTGAGATATCATCAATCAAAATTTGTCTTTGTCTGATATACAGCATACAATCAAAAAAGTAATGGACTGCATTTTCACACTCATTTCCACATGCACACATTGGATCACCTACAATATTAACTCTATACAAATCATAATTTAAACTACTACATGAATGACGCAATCGTGTATGTAAAATATTTAGTTTTCGATTTCCTACATGAAAAAAAATAGGCAACAAGTAACCTTGGTTACGCTTAATCGATGATTTAAAAATGTTAACGGATGGCTGCTCTCTGACAGTATTTGGTAAATCGTTCTGTCTGTACTCTGACATTTCTGTTACAGATATCCTCCCCACAGATATCGCCTTCATGGGTGTATACGTGCTACTGTTGGTCGGAGCTATCGTCTGTGCTGGTACGTACATATATGTCTTTGATCATACTTCCGGTCAGAAATATCTTTCGTCTTAGAAATTACACAAAGCACTACCATATTTTATATCCCCTCCGTTATGGTTTCCGAAATTCTAGATCAGGCGAATATATAACTTTTAGAAATGGTGAGGGATATCATTAAAACTCTTGACCACTCAAAGCAAGCTAATGTATTTTGTTCTGATACTGTCAAGGCTTTTGGGTGAAATTAACCACTCTATTCTAATGAATAAACTCCGATATTTTAGTATAGATTAGAAATCAAAAACTTTGATATCCATTTTCTTGCCCAATAGAATACAACGGTGTTTGATGAGAGCTTCAAATCAGACTTGGTAACCGGGTCAAAGCGTATTTCTGTTATGTATTAAAATAGCATGCAAATCAGATTGAAAATTATGGTGAGATTGTTTGCGGACGGCATCATTGCGTATCAGTATTGAGTCTGAAGAGGAAACTAGAGCGTGTCCGTCTTACATAAAATAGTTTAATGTGTTCGACCTTGAAATTTGCTATATACTCAAAATTCAAAGAAACTATTTCTACGTTTCCGATAGCATACTTCATTGTCAAAGTATATACTATGGTTATTTTTTTAAATTCCTAGGGTGATTTTCGGATAAGACTTGAAATAAAGGTAGGGTTTGCAATGCGGCAAATTTCAATCTAGGTATTTCCCTAAAAGGAACCTATCAATATTATCGATCATGATCAAAATGTTGGTAAACAAATCGTTAGATCGTCTCCACACATACCACCTCTGTAAGAGACTAATACTTGAAATATTATATATAGTATCTGTCATATAACATGTCCTAACCCAACCCCGTCTTCATCAGTCATGCTGCGGTCCCGTCAACTGTTCCACTCCACATACAAGTTATACATCTCGTCGGTGGTGTTCTGGCTCGTCAACCTCTTCTTCCTCAGCTTGGCTAACGGCATGTATTCGGCAGACGGCTATGAAAACGACCAACTCGAGCTAGCAGGTGGGTAGTCGCCTCTACTATAACCTTAAGCTTTGTTAAAACAATATTCGGTATATTGCATCTGTGTTTTTCTGTTACCTTAAAGACGTTGTATTCAATATATCTTTCTAAACATCTTCTGACGCTATTGTTTCTTATTGTGTGGTATGGCGCCGTTGCAGGTCGCGTGTTTGGTGCCATCAGTGATCTGGTGTTCCTTCTGCTGTTGATTCTGATTGGGAAAGGTTACACCATCACCAGGGGGCGCCTCCCGGCCTCTAGCACCATCAAGGTGACGGTGTTCTTCACGCTGTACACCATCGTCTACGCCGTCCTGTTTGTGTACGAAGCCGAGGTATGTACATGTACTTTGGATCAGAATGATGAAGGAATAATCACGACAATATCTTGGTTATGTAGTGTTTTTTCGCACACTATTTGCTGTTTATCAGGTTTGCGAGGATGTTTCTGGCGAGGATATGTGAAGCCCAAATTTTGTCGGCAAAGATTAACATAATATTTTCCTGTCAGTAAAGACTAAGTTCATCTCGCCGTTGTTAGTTTCAGCAAAATCATGTTGGTTAAGTTTGCAACAAAATATTCCTTTGAAGCAAACTGGATTGAACTATTTCAGATTTACAGATCGCACATTCGTTCAGTGCTACTGAAAAGATCCTGTTTAAATTACGTCACTCTGGATCATGCCTTAACAATTTAGTTAACGAGGTTCTTTCTTGTGACAGATACTTGATGTTAGTATTAAAACAACACACGTTTTCACTTCATTCCCTTCAAAAATGTCCATACAATACGGGACCTGGTTCAACGTATGCATATATATTGTACCCTTAGCAGTCTGGTAATAAAAGCTCTACAGAGCTTATGTTTTTTGTTGACAATTTACACGGCGTTAACTATAGATTATTGATGTAGATTAAGTTTTGAGCAACAATGAAATAAGTCGGCATCCTCTTCTCCAATGACATTGTATTTCACTAACCATGTTTTGCTGAACATAAGTTAATTCTGACTGAACAAAATAGAGGGAGAGTGGCGCAGGTGTTCCATTCCGCGTATGAATTATATGTGTGTTTGACCCCGGTGATGTGTTGTGCCTGTATTCATACTTTATGTTCCAGGTGATTGACCTCTGGTTAGGTGTTGTGCCTGTATTCATACTTTATCTTCTAGGTGTTTGACCCCAGTGAGGTGTTGTACCCGTATTTATACTTTATGTTTTAGGTGTTTGACCTGGTTAGGTGTTGTACCTGTATCTATACTTTGTTTTAGGTGTTTGACCCCGGTGAGGTGTTGTACCTGTACGAAAGCCCACCTGGTTACGGACTAATATCATTACGTCTGATTGGATGGGCGTGGTTCTGCTACTCAATATTCTTCACGCTGAAACACTTCAAAACAAAATCACTCTTCTACTATCCATTCTTCATCTTCTACACTGTATGGTGAGTAACAGTTCACGTGTGTTACACTGGATGAGGGAGATTGGATGATTTACCCTGGGCTTTTTACATAAATTTGCAGTGTGTCTCATCTTAGGGTGTGATAAAGATATCTGCCTCTCAAATGGGTCAAGGAATTCACAATCCTATGTTACTATGGATACGCATTGGCGATATAAAAAAAACCCACCAAGCCTCGGGTTAAAAGTTAAAAAACACAACCTGCACCGTTATTGCAATATATATATAACTGGAATAGAGTGTTGTCACGTCCAGGGGTTTGTATGTTAGTTTGACCTATGTCGTGTTGTTGTTGTTGTTGTCAGGTTCTGGGCAGGACCAATCGTCATCCTGGTGGCCATGTTCGCCATGGACCAGTGGATGAGAGAGAAAACAGTCCATGGTGTCGCCATGTTTATCACCCTTGTGGGTCACGGATTCTTTCAGGTAAAATGCTGCTTGATACAGATCAGTTCATACTATAGCATTGCAAACAGAAATAAGACTGGTGAGCAAATCAACTCTGAGAGGTAATGGTTAACATATCATTATTGATTTATAATGACAACTCAATTGTATCGCGACAATAACGATAACAGCACGGAGTATAATGAAAATGACAACACATTTTAAATGAGTATTTTATCCTTCCATTACAGGTGTATCATGACGCTGTTTTAATGTTACATAAAATAATGAAATGACGAACAATATTCACAATGTGACATATTCAATGTAGAAAAACACGAAACAAATCTACTGATAAATGCGACCAATTCAGAAGTTGAAAAATGAGGAATAAATACTAAATTAAAAAGAGTTTCTAGAGTTTAATTGGACAACTAGACAATTTTAGAATTCATAGCTTAAGTGTTGCATTATGCATCAACATTATAATGAAAGTTTTGAAACGTAACATGTAGTATTGTCACAAAGAGACCTTGCGCGATTTTGGTTGTCCCCTTAAGCCTGTTATCTCGGGAGTCGCCGAGCTTACCTTTGGTTTTATCACGACGGGATATTCACAAGATATGTTTATACATTAAAATGAACCTATCGATGAAAGCCAACAGAAAACCCTAATTAGACTACTCATTTAGTTCATATTTACACAATGGTATGGTAACATTGAGTTCTACATCTGATTGAATGTTGTTGGCCGACAGTCAAGGTTAAGGAGCCAACGTTAAGGGTAAAGCTGTATGGGGGAGGATGGTTGGGTATACATAATTGAGTCTCCGTTCACTTTGTTTTTGTATCAAAAATAATGGAATTGGATATTTGGTAATTGACATATTGAATGTTGATATTTCCATACAAGTATCATAAAATATATACTTTAAAACAGAATCGATATCATTTTCAGGTTTTGACCAGGCCATCGGCTGCCAACAAAAACTTCCCGTACCACGTTCGAACCTCACAGGTAAGTGTTCTACACATAGAGGGACAGAGTACCGCAATTATATTTGTTGTTGATTGATGCAATAGTTGTTGTCTGGTACGTGGTCTTGTTTTTATGTTGTTGTTTGATTTCTCATTGATTATAGCCTACCCGTTTGTTTCTGTCCTTTAGGTTGTCTGTTATTTGTATCTTTGTTAGTTATCACAATTGTTTTCTGTGGACACATTTGTTGTAATTTATTTGATCGGTTTTCTGTTGCCTCTGTTTTTCCATGTAGAGTTATGCATGTGTACTAACCGTTCACCTTCCCCCCGACAGATTGCCACTATGACGGGCGCCAACAGTCACGAGCTGGACAACTTCAATGCACACAGTTACGCAGTTCGACAACCCCACTCGTCCGCCTCGGGACCCGATCTGACTAGCCTCTTCACCACCTCTACAACAAAGTCAGAGAAGGGCGACGACGACGATGGCTTGATGACGTCATCCATGGCGTCAGAACAGAAGCGTGGTAGTCTGCCTCCCAGCTACAGTAGTGCTAACCTTGAGGTAACACTGGGCTTATTGTTAGAACTTCATAACTAACATGTATATCCTTTACCACCATATCCATTCTTATGATATTAGTTATTGCTAAACGAACTATATCTGTACGTGTTTAGCAACCTGATCACTTTAGTATACATATATCCATAATTAGGAATTAAGGACTTTGAGGTTTAAATCCGAGACTTACTGGGCATTTTTATATTGTCAGAGTGATTTAATTCATAGACCGACACAGTTTCGGATGTTACGTAACAACAAGAAAAAACTGTAAATGAGTCTAGCAGTTGACAGTTGAGTGGAAAATATTTACGAGTACCTCCCCTTACACCTGTATTAGTGCTAGCCAGAAGAATTTGGGATATTCAGAGCTGGAAATCTAGATACAGGATACATTTGTTGGTTAACTCAGCATCCCGGATCGAAACAGTTACGTATCGAACACTTGGTTTGATAAACTTCGTGTGCTGTATACCAAACTTAACTCTTAACTTACAAACCCTTTCGTTATGTGTTTTAGGTGTTACCTGGCATTCGCAGCAATACGTCATCTGCCTCCCTAGGTGGCGCCAGTGGTGGGATTTCTTCACCGCCAAGTTACCACACCTTATTTACCGCCAACACCGGCAACGGCTGGGAATAATATAACAACACGACACGGACATATGTCGAACTGAAATATTTATCAACTGACAACTAACGTACAGATGTTGGTCAACGTACGGACATCATAGGACTTTTCTTAAATCTTTACAAATAGAATGCAGTGTTAGAAACAGTGTTTGTTAATCTGACTCTTATATTACCGCAACCATTAGAACTGGTTCACAAATAATTTCAATTATTCGAGCATTCTTCGGTAATGAAGCTTGACCACCTGTACCGATGTCGGACACAGCAGTTTTCACATCTATTGTGACAAAATAACGGTATTAAGGAGCTGTTACCAAAGTTTCCATATTAGCACAGACATACAGATATACAGACATACATGTACCTCCCCAGTATCATAGGACGCATAAGTGAGACTACATTGTTACCGATAGTATGTAGAGTTATAAAACTTATATTTCACATAATTTATCTTAAATGGAATTATTTTTTTAATATTTACATTTCCACTGCACAGAGCCTAGATGTTTCTACCTGGCCCAATGTATGTTATTTCCGTGCAATTTAATCTTGCTTGTAACAAGCATTTCCATTGGCTTAAAAAATTATGTTATCATCCATAACGTAAAAAAATGACGTCGCCATTTGTAACGTCACTTTTGAATGGTAGATACAGCGACGCAATAATTTCTAAGAGAAAAGAGTCCATCAATAAAAGTGGATTTCCACAGAGATTGTGTAGATTAAATTATAAGGATAACATGAAAAATATATTCAAGTTCATCCTTAAATTACATACATTGGGCTAGTGTGACGTCGCTATGCTTATGACGTCATAACTGTTACGTTGGAGATTGCACTGCTCCACTGTCAACTGGTGGCTGTTCTCTGCATGGATTTACCCTGACGTGTAAACATGTTCAGACTAATATTATGTCTTTATTTCTGCGTGAACTGTAAGTTGATTAACATAACATGTAAATATAATTATTGGTTATCATATTTTTGACATGCATTGGTGTGTAACATACATTGGCTTACCTACATATTGAATGGTGCGCGCTACACACCAATACATGTCAAAATATTTTAACCAATCCTTAATTATATATGTGACATAAAACATCACTGACTATACTTTGTAACATGTTATAGGTCAATGCTACCTTCTGAACGCTGTGATATGAAGGAGACACACGTGATATTGATACAGTAAATACACACTTTGTCGATCTAAAAATTCGCAATTAATCTATGTCCGCGGTATGGACTTGAGGAAGTCTTTCAAATAAGTTGTAAATTACCCGAGGGTAAACAATAATAGTTCGTCAACAAGTAATGGTACCATGCTCCTATTGTTGTGATCCTGATTATAAACGACTGAATACCCTTCCCCTACATCCCTGCCACAAGAAGTTTCATTTCGTCATGATTCTCATTTTTACTATATTTTGTATGTACATGTATTACTATGATACTTATATAAATATTGATGATGATATGGTTTTGTTAGTACTGACGATGACATATAGGGATTGGATGGCGTGTTAATGTTCATGCTGGTGTGAACATAAATCGGTTACATCCATATTGCATGAAGCCCGCTAGAACGTCATATTTAATATGGATGTAACCGATTTGCGTTCATACCGGCATGAACATTAAAAGCACGCCGTTCAATCCATATATTAACATTTGTGATATAGAAATATTATTTAGTTTTATTTATTTGTTCTTAAATAATTAATTTATTTATTGCCTTTAAAAGACATTGGCGGAACAGCCCTATTTAAATAAAAATGGCGCCAATAATTAACCGTAGTCATTTTATCGTTTGACGCAGGAGCATTTTCCATGTAATCCGAAGCGAAGCGACAAGACTCTCATTAAACAATGTTAATCTATGACGTCATGATTAAACCACGTGTTACGTCACGAGAGCTTTTGGTTTCACACTCAAATAAAATGTATTTCTGCTGGTTACGCTCATATAGTTGGCTGCAGAGCAAATGTAAATATAACTGTGTAGGACTTGTCCATGATATATTTTGTGTATATTGAAGATGATATAATTCTGTATGCATTGGCAATGATATGGTTTTGATATATTAGTAATTAGCTTTTGAAATCACGTAGATATGAGAGTTATTGTTGAATAAATCGTAATTTAATCAATGTAAAAGGCATTAGTTTGACGATGATTGCTTTATATTTCAATCTATTTTTATAAATTGCATATAGCGTTGTCTTGTAAGATTATATAACATGTTATGAAATTAAAATTAACAAAATGTATCCATTTGTAAACAGTTTTTAGAAATGTGATACATAAATTTATGTGAAAACATTGTTTACGACTTTCAATCAAGTATTCTTGTATTGTACCGTCATTTATGAATACACGATTGATTGATATTCTATACGGTCGCCTTGGTGCCAAAATTCGATATAAAGACGACTGTTAGGTAGTCCATATACAAAGTGTTGGTACTGAAAACGATTGCTTAATGTACAGTTAAATTATGTATGTAGAAGTTACTTTATAAGGACGGCGGTAAATAACAAACGTAACAATCGTTCATGCGATGACTTACTGATGTATCATAGAATAAACACAACCACATCGATATGAAATCAGTTGTTGAACTAACATAAATTCTAAACATATTAAATCCTCGTTACTCCGAAAGATTTAATTCTGGATCGAGATCAGTTCTATAATCCATTGTAAACGTTTACAAGTTTTTAATGTGCTTAAAATATTGAATAAATAATAGTCAAGATCTGGAAACCATAGGGTCCGGACAGACACGGCCCTACTCCACCCGTTCATAAACATGTTCCCAGCGTTCAGAGTTATTGAAAGACCAGGAGCTTTCTCAATGCTTGGTATGTTAGACCTTTACTTTGATATAAATTTCTATCGTTCAAAGAATAGCGTTCACTTTTTTGTGACGTCATGGTTCATACTTATAGTGATGTAATAACTAACACTGATTATGTGTAAAGTATGACATTCCTGGTATAATATGAACGTTTTAGATGTGAAATAACAACTTGTGATGGTTGGCTATCAGGTTTAAGGATGTCTACTTAGTTCATTTTAACGGTTTTAACTTCCGTTCTGTGTTATGTGAATTCCGGTGTACCCCAGGTATCCATACCGAACCCAGACTTTTTATTGTTTGAATATAAACGACCTACCTACGGTTCTGAAGCATTCCAATGTTTTTTTGTTTTCTGATAATGTAATTTTTGTAAAACTTTAACATATCTGTCTGATTGTGAACAATTGCAACAGGACAGAGTTTATAAATGGTGTAATGGTGGTCAATGTAAGCCAGTCTATTCGGTGAGAGGCGTGCTCTTCAGCTAATCCCGTGTGTCAAACACCTAGGGAGCTTGGTTTCTGACAATTTCAATTGCTTGTTTCATATTAGAAATGTTGTTTCGAGGAGTTTGCAAATACTTGGTCTGTTGAAACGTCCATGTGAAGTATTTATAAATATGTCTGTGATAAGGTCGCTGTACATACGTCTAGTCAGAGATCGGTTGGAGTATTCTAGTGTGGTCTAGTCTCCGTACTATACTACATACATTCATTCACCAGATTCAAAGTGTACAGGGGATGTTTTTAAAGTTCTTACAGTTTATAGCTAACTTTGATTTTCATTCCCATTCTTATTCTGACGACCGTAAACATTTTATATTACTTTCTCTAGAAAGCAGACGCCAATACTTAGATATTTGTTTCTTTTTTAAATGTGCTCACGGTTTCTTTGGCTGTGCATGTGTAACAGAACATATCGGTATTAGAAAACGGAATGACAAAGTTTACCTTCCTCTATGCTTTTGTAAGAACATTTAGTACTCTTTACAATGCTGCGGGAACTTATGAAAGAAAAACACTCGTGAACTCGACTGCATATTCTTATGAACCCTGCACACTTTTAAATCTCCACTTTTAAAATAATATTCTTTATCTCTGTGTTCGCTACACTCATTTACCTTGTAATCTATACGCATTGTCTGTGATGTTTTACCATGCCTTTGTTATCATTGTTATCCTTTATGTGAGTGGACCCCAGGTCTATTTGAAATGTATTTAAATAAAAAGATGCCTGTTCTCCATTATTAAAACCAGATAAAAATAACCCATATATGTCAAAACTATAATTGAGAGACGTTTTATGCATTGGAATGTGTTTATGAATAAAATATCACACAAACACATACAGTTATTTGTGATATATCAACGGCCAGTTGTTACCATTAATTAATAAAATATCACACAAACACACACAGTTATTTGTGATATATCAACGGCCAGTTGTTACCATTAGTTAATAAAATATCACACAAACACATACAGTTATTTGTGATATCTCAACGGTCAGTTGTTACCATTAATTAATAAAATATAACACAAACACATACAGTTATTTGTGATATATCAACGGTCAGTTGTTACCATTAATTATTAAATATCACACAAACACATACAGTTATTTGTGATATATCAACGGTCAGTTGTTACCATTAATGAATGAAAATAAATCACCACAATATATAACAGAGAGGTGATTGCCCTAGATTCAAACCCGGTACCCCATGGTTGTGGACCGACAATCTACCACCAGCTGAGCCATTTTAATCACCACCAATCAATCACTACACGCATGATCTGTTAACCTTTCGTTAAACATTAAACTTATAAACCTAGCCAAATTAAGTTTAAACGAACCCAACGATGCAATGAAGTGTGGTGTAGACACACCTTTTAGTGATCAGTGTCATGCACGTATTACTAACATAAAGTTCTTGGGACATACACTCACATCTAAGAACACCCTGTATTTAGTACTGCCTCTAGAGAATTTATGTAAGGCCGTAATCATTGAAGGCTAAAGTACTACTGCTGGGGATAGGGACATCAATTGTTTAATAATTAAAATTAGCACCTTTATCATAGAGTTTGGTAGTGACGGGAGTCTGTTTAACAAATAACGATCATTGAAGGTAAATGTGTTAGAGTTAGATAATAAAGTGACCATTATTGTATTACTGCATGTAAACCATTTAAAGTGTGACAATAGTTTGATTTAGAGTTGTATACTGAAGGTAGGTATAGAGACGACTAGTATGGTTATACCAGGGGAAAAATGTATAAACAGTTGAAGTTGAGACGAGAGGGGAGTGTGTTATACTGTCTTTCAAGTTCTCGAGAATAAGTGGGATACAAGTAGCGTTTGAAGTAATCGTTACATCAGTGTATCTTAATATTCAACAGAGGGATCTTTATCTCATAACGTCAATACTCATGGTTAAGATTCTTATCTCATTTAGACATAATATCAGATTGACTCGTAAATGTTGGACATCAAATTTAAATTTCAGTTTAAAATGGCGTTCAATATACGACTTACTTCATAATAAAGTCTGTATATATAATTGTTTCTGACACTTACCGTTAGAGTAGGCAGTGCACGTCAGTAAGTTTGACGCGGGCTGTCTCAGTATCACTACAGCTCTTCTAGTCATAACACTTTAATATCGATTGTTATATAATCTCCTATGTTGAAGCTGGCGTCCAGACAAATTCTATTATAAGGGATCCACAATGATCTGTAGCCTGTTTCGTACCTCCTCACAAAATATGGAATGGTGTGTGAAGCGATACCTCGACGTTACGGCCACAAGTCAGATGTACCATGTATTGGGTATTGTTCTCACGTAAGTCCGACATTCTTATACCATTTTCAATGTAACGTTGTGATGTATGATTATTGACATTGTGTGTGGTATCTGTGGCTTCTATCCCTTTTTCTCTTTTATCACTTCATGTGAGAGCAACTAACATGTATTGTGTATCACCATACCTGAAAACAACCAATAGTTTCTTGGTAAATCTAGTTAGAATATTTAATATTATGTTCAGGAAGGAACAATGTACTACGGGTAAATTGCCTTGGGCAAAACAAAGCGCTGAGGCCAGTCATACCCATTTAAACTTATATAACTTCCTGCAACATATATAATGATACAACTGTTGTCTATAATATGTTAAGTAATAGACTGACGACCTGATCTTACCAGGGAAACACCGGTGTATATCTTAGTATTAGAGTTTAGCTAATCGTAAACTAGTAAACCAGACCTCAACCGTGTTGATAGCCCTTACTTTATATCAACACCATGGAAGTAGTCGGCGGTATAAACAGGTTTGTATTTTAAGTGTGATGTTTACGGGAACACTAGTGGGACGTTTGAATGAGTTTAAAGTTCCGTCTGTCGATACTTGTGGGTAGTTTGCACTTGTATGCAAATGCCAAGTCATAAATAAAAGCACATTCCGCGTGTGACACGTACAATATACCTGCAGATCCTGGTCTGTAGCCAACTGCACGTGACGTGGACCTGGGACGAAAACGCCCGAGTAGCTTCATAAAAGGTAACCTTTTCTCGGCATACTTAAAGTAGTAAATGTGTCGTCAAATCAGAATGAAAAATAATCTTCAAACGACACAAACATTATAAAATGTTATTGAGTTGATGACGGTTTTAAAGTCTGGACTCAGCTGTATCTAAATACACAAGCTTAACAATGCCGTAATTGAAATTCAAATTTGTGGTTTTGTTATAACTGAAAGTGTTCAAACTAATATATATATAAATTTAAGATATATTTAGGTTTAACATTTTGTATTCAAAAGGCAATTTAAATTTCAGCCTGAATATATCATTTAGCTTTTTACCACTGATACGTCTGTTGACTGTGCTCGACACTGGAGTTCTATGTGTCGAGTATCTAACTGAGGATAGTGACGCTTTTACCTTAAAGTCGCCCTGTGTTACGGGACGAGTATCTAACTGATGGCTGTGACGCTTTTACCTTAAAGTCGCCCTGTGATATGGGTCGAGTATCTAACTGATGGCTGTGACGCTTTTACCTTAAAGTCGCCCTGTGTTATGGGTCGAGTATCTAACTGAGGATTGTGAAGCTGTTACCTGAAAGTCTGACTGTGTTAGGGCTCGAGTATCGAACTGATGGCTGTGACGATTGGGTCGAGTATCTTACAGTTACTCCCTGTGTTACTGTGTTATGGGTCGAGTATCTAACTGAGGATTGTGAAGCTGTTACCTTAAAGTCTCCCTGTGTTATGGGTCGAGTATCTTACAGTTTCTTCCTGTGTTACTGTGTTATGGGTCGAGTATCTTACAGTTGGTTGTGAAGCTGTTGCCTTAAGTCTCTTGTGTAGCTCATGGCCACTACACTGCGACGCCGTGGTCCCGTTCCTCCTAGCTGACAATTTACAAGATGTTTTGTGACAGGTGTGCTTTCTGTGTACATGTGTGCGATTGTATGTTAACAACAGTGCCTGCACGTCCTTACGAAAGGTAGGTACACCATCACAGCATGGATATATGTTACTGACAATGGTGTATCCAGACCCTTACCTGCTGTACGATTAAGGTAGACGTATGCAAGGGTATTCTAAACTTGATAATATTAAATCAATGATTTAAAATGTCTAGAATATTTCAGCGACATTTTGTAGATTGTTACATCAGAAATATAACCTTGTCAACAACATGTACTGAGGAAACGATTCATATATTCCGTGTGTTGATATACTACATCGTGTCTGTGTATTGACGGGTATGTATATCAGTACCATCAGTAATATCATGTGTGTAGTCGTCCATTCGTTACGTTATTACGTGACTTGACGTACAATGTTATCTCGTGGGCTACCTGGCGTCCTCTTTCATACGAACCCGTCACTGTGACCAACACAAAGCGTACTGTGTTACGCTAACACGTTTAAGTGTATGTATACGATATCGCACTGGAATACATTTCAATGTGGTTTGCATATTTAATTCACACAAACACCTGTTTGAGACTACATGCATTAACAGGCACAGTCTTAGCATGTTTTGAATATATTAATAGATAAAATATACGGTTAAACATTATTTTCCCGGTATTATCTGCTCAAGCTATTGGGCTTTTGTATATCCCATATTGTCACAAAGAAATCAAAAACAAGTAAAGTGACAGTCTTTAGTTGAAACATCAGCATTTAATGCTTACAGTGTGTCGCTTGCTTTATTACAAGGAACATGTAGTCGATAAACATGACAAGAGTAAAACGTACGTAATGTACAGCCAATACAAGATAATTTAGGCTGAATAAAATATTCCCTTACATGTCTGTAGTTTTGTACATTGTTCCGTCAGCCTACCGTAGAACAAAGGAAATGTAACAGACAATGCTGTATTACGATGATTTTTTTTTACCGTTACCTAGAACAACACGCAATACACCTACCACGAGTACAAATCTGTCATATTTAATAGAACTTTAAACAATTGGACCCAGAGGAAATGAAAACATATTAAACGGATATAACTTTAACAGTGGACGGAGAAAAAGCAGGTTCGAGAAAGAGAAAGTTCAAAATTTGGAAAATCAAAATGGTAAATTGTAAAGAAGGAGGAATGTTATTCGAGAAAGAAAATAACAAAATCGGAAAATCGAAAAGTGACTTGTTGGCCAAAACACATTGTGGATTATCCTAAAGTGAGAATTGCAAACCTTAGTCAGTTCGTGTTTAGCATCCCCCGGGAGAGACACACAGCGTATTCTCCCTGGCATCTCTACAGACTGCTATGCAATCTTTCTTTTGAGGTCAGTGTAATGATGTCAGCCAGATTGACAATTATGCCAATGGTTCCCTACTGAAGTTTCTACATCTTGGCCTTTGATGTATTTTTGTTTTACAATCATGCTCAAACTATTTCGTAATCATATATTTGCATCATAGCCCACATTTCCTTGGAAAGAAAGTTGGTATGAGGAATGGTAGAGTATGGCTTGGTACGATTCATGGTGTTGAAGGGGAAACAATTGTGTGGGTGAAAGACGTATAGTATAGATCTACAAATATCACGTAATCACATAATGTACTGTGTTATTACATAATGTACTGTGTTATTACATAATGTACTATGTTATCACATACTGTACTGTGTTATTACTTACTGTACTGTGTTATCACATAATGTACTGTGTTATTCCATAATGTACTGGGTTATTACATAATGTACTGTGCTATCACATACTGTACTGTGTTATTACATAATGGACTGTGTTATCACATAATGTACTGTGTTATTACATAATGTACAGTGTTATTACATAATGTACTGTGTTATCACATACTGGACTGTGTTATTACTTACTATACTGTGTTATCACATACTGTACTGTGTTATCACATTATATATTGTGTTATCACATACTGTACTGTGTTATTACTTACTGTACTGTGTTATCACATACTGTACTGTGTTATTACTTACTGTACTGTGTTATCACATAATGTACTGTGTTATTCCATAATGTACTGGGTTATTACATAATGTACTGTGCTATCACATACTGTACTGTGTTATTACATAATGTAATGTGTTATTACATAATGTACTGTGCTATCACATAATGTACTGTGTTATTCCATAATGTACTATGTTATTACATAATGTACTGTGCTATCACATAATGTACTGTGTTATTCCATAATGTACTATGTTATTACATAATGTACTGTGCTATCACATACTGTACTGTGTTATTCCATAATGTACTGTGTTGTTACATAATGTACTGTGTTATCACATACTGTACTGTGTCATTACATAATGTACTGTGTTATCACATAATGTACTGTGATATTCCATAATGTACTGTGTTATTCCATAATGTACTGTGTTATCACATACTGTACTGTGTTATCACATTATATATTGTGTTATCACATAATGTACTGTGTTATCACATAATATAATGTGTTATTCCATAATGTACTGTGTTAACACATCATGTACTGTGTAATCACATACTATACTGTGTTATAACATAATGTACTGTACTGTATTAACTCATGTAATATGACCTATCAGCCCTGTGAAAGTTTTTACATAAGTTATATTTAAAACAAAATATGTTTATATATATCAGTCATTATCAACAAAATATAAAGATATTACAAAATGCTATTTTTAGAATCCTGTCATACCAAACAAAACGTCATGGTTACTGTAGGAATGTTGGGAAATGCTTAAGACCGCAAGTCATTTTGATTTTTGATTTGAGTTATCACAGTTGCAAAAGAAATCTTCAAATTAGATGTTTTGATGAGAAATGTTGTTTTTCTCTGCAAGAAATGAATAAATATGAGATTACTCTTAGATAACAAATGTCTAGAAATTATCAGATTGACCTCTTTAACTGCATGCATTTGTCATCAACAAGAAAAGAAAAAGCCCCCAATTTTATTGAATGTGATATTTTAAAGAATAATCTCAAAATAGGAATAAATGATTGCTGGTGTATACACACATAATTTCTGGATCGTGTATTATGCATAAAACATTCTAGTGTAGGTTTTCTGATGAAATAATGTTACATTACTGTGTTGCAGGTACAATGGAACATGAAGCGTCTCCGTGATAATAATTCAAGCGTCTGGGGGACCCTGCTGATTGGCTGGGTATTAATAACTTCGCCGTGTAATGCCTGCTCACCTATGTGCGACTGTGTCGGGAACTATTTTGCATACTGTGATCGACGCGAACTAACTTCCAGTCATCTGATTGACCTGATGCCGGACCTTCCCGTCAGAATAAGTTACATCGACTTCAGCCACAATGTAATCAGGGTGTTGACCAATAGTATGTTCTATCGACATACTGCGCTCACTACTATCAGCCTCGATCACAATGTAGTGAGTGACGTCAGCGGAAGTACGTTTCGCCCGCTTCTGCGGTTGCGTAAACTTTTCCTCCAACACAATCAACTACCTCATTTAAATGATGGTATATTCTTCCATCTGACACAACTACGGAATCTCTATCTCTATAGCAACCGGATCCGACACCTCCCGGATAGGGGTTTCGCTCATCTTGTAAACTTACGGGAACTCCATCTAAACAGAAACGATCTAGATAATGTGACGTCAGAGGCACTGGTTGGTCTAAGCAGACTACAAATACTCAATATTTCAGACAACAACATTAACATTATCAGTGATTTCTCATTTGCTTCGCTGACTAATCTCCGTAAGCTATTCCTGGAAAACAACAAGATAAGTGTTCTAACATCAAAAACATTCTGGAATCTTACTTCATTGCGTGAACTAGATCTACGTAACAACTGTATTGTATACATACAGGCAGCGCATATGGACCCGTTCAGGCAGCACATCCGGGTTCTCCGACTTTCATATAATCGACTTGTCTCTCTCCGTAGGAATGTTTTCGATGATATGGGTTCGTTAAGAGTTTTGGATTTAAATTATAATGAAATTAAAACGATAGAAAAAGGTGCGTTTTGGTATCTAGACCTAAATGAGCTACATTTAAAGGGTAATCGGTTAGAGGCAGTGGGACGGGAAATGTTCCTTCACACCCGGTTACTCAGGTATGTGGACCTAAGTCACAATGATATCCACCTCATCAGTCCTGGAGCATGGGCTGGTCTAGGACAGTCGCTTCACGTCCTCATTTTAACCGGAAATCGACTGGTGGATCTCTCCAGGACCATGGTGCAGGGCATGTCAGCACTGCGCAAGCTCAGACTAGACAGCAATCAAATTGTCACTATAGATCCGGAGTTTATTTTACAATTGCCAAGTTTGCAAACGTTGGATCTCCGCGCAAACAATCTTCGGTCACTGTTTGCACAGGAATTCACAGACCTGCCGGCAGTGCCGAGACTTTTACTGGAACAAAATCCTCTCCGTCAGTTCTCAGGATTCAGGTTTGTCGGTGATGTTCATGTCAGTTTAAATCTGACTGTTACATCAAAGAATAACAGAACCGTTAACATTACATGGCCGTACAAGGGAGGTAATCAGATTTATTGGTCGGTGTCTGTGAAAAATTTAAATAGAACACAAAGCGACAATGATATAACATTATATCTTCAAGCATACGTGACCAATACAATGATACCAGGGTTATCTCCTCTTACCCATTACTTAATCAATGTCAGACCAGTGTTTGTTGACGAGAGGGTTCGTGTGGACCAGACCGGTTACGTGACGACTCTAGGCCCCGACGAGTCGTCATCCCCTCCGACAACTTTACGTGGGGACGAACACGCCTCGGGGTCGTGTCGGTGTCGCCCCCTACCGTGGACTGCGCTTTACTGTCTGGCGTGTATTATCATGCTACGCTACCCAAGTTCCTTTATTTAAACCAATCACATTTGTTTGATGATGAACAAATAGCGCAGATGGACAGGACAAAATCAGCCGGGAGCATAAAACTTGACTGACTGATCTAAAACTGCAATATGACCAAATAGGACGTGATTTCTGTTGTATGCATTTTATACAGATTCATCCATCTTCGCTTGTCGTGCAATATCCCAGTTTAATCATTATTGATCTGTTTCGCTACACTACGCTGAGCTTGTCTCCCTTCGCCGCCAACCGTCATTACCGTTTTTGTAATCGTGTAATGTCTAAATGATCATAAAACGTCGAGATCCTGCCGAAATTTATTTATTCTATTATTTGATATGTTGTATGTAACATTCACGATTTGTATTTTTATTGATGGAAATTTGTTTTTCATTTTGATAAAATCTTTTATGAACTTTTACTGTAGAACACACGTGTTGTTTTTGTAACCCGAAAGCGCGAAAAAACTAAACAACCGAAATTTCTGCTTATGTAATAGCGACACAACTGTCGATATCTTACACATGTAGTGTTATTACGCCATTAGCCATATTGTTACCGATTGGAGGAATGCCAGTCAAAAATACATACTTATAGTTACAACCGTCACAAACACACCAACTTAAACAATTTAGTACCCATAATATCTAGTTTTGTGTGTGTCAAACATACAACATGACCCGGTGGTGCCACACACTATAGGGCTATAGGTGTCAGGGGCGTTTCTAGGAAAGATAATCAAATCTTTCGGCGAGCGGAGCGATGCGAAAAAAAAGATTGGACCTTTTTTTGGCCAAAAAACATAAAATAATTGTGAAATGTACTAATGTAACGGTTCCTGACTTGGAGCATGTATATTTTATATATTTTATTTTTGGTGGTTTTTTTTAAAAGCCTATACGCCCATTACGCCCTCACCTCGACCCGCCCCTGGATGTAGTAAATATAAACCACCATTTGGTACGAAATAGCTCAGGAATCAAACCAAACGTAGCGAAATAGAGATCATGGATTTCCTGGTGTTGTGTCACTACAAATATTTAACGTAACATTGTTTCACGTCCGTATGAAAGTTTTCTGCACGTTTTCCGCACAAAGCCCCGATGGTAGAAGACGGCAAAATTAAAAATCTTTACAAGGAATCCACTCTGCAATACAAGTGAAACAAATGTTCTCCCAGAAAATGAAACAGAACAATACATAAGGCCGATGCTTTCTCTCAATTAGATCTCTTTATTTTAGCAATATGTGAAAAGTAAATTGCTGAATTAAGTATTTACGAAGACGTTTTATCAAAAACATGCCACAGGGATAATTGGTTTGGAATTTCTGTCTAATTCGATGTTTTTCATTCAATTTTCACTGTCATATTTGTATCAATCTAGGTAAAAGCTAAGAACATTTCTATCTAAAATAACTACTTTGAATATCGATAAACTTTGGACTATCTGTCATCTGCCGTATACATGTAGAAACAATTCCAAGGAGCATTACATTATCAATTGTTCTCTGCTACCCCAACAACGGGTACACATAGGTTAGGATACACACAGTCGGCCTTGTCTACTTGTACTTTGGCAAATTGACCAGCTTTGTCGGAAGGTATCGTACGACCCTGCAACGCGCTGTATCTATTGTACAACATTTGAATTCTGAATACAAAAAGAAAAGACACAAAACATTTCTGATAACAGTCATTTTAGTAAAAAGATATTAACTCTTTCAACTTTTCTTTAACAAGCATGACGTCAGTCAAACGTTATAAACACAGTTATAGATAATCTACACATTTGATACATGACGGTTGTAAATGATTAACATAGCCCGCTTATTATATGTATTTCAATTTTATTAAATAACATATATTTTACAACAACATAAAACAAGTTGATACACTTCAATGGGAAGAACACTTTGACTTTCGTATCGATGGCGTTATACATTACATGTTCACTTAATCAAAACTCTTACGTTAAAACATATTAACAACTTCCATTGCTCAATTCAAATAACTGCAATTCAATGAGAAATATATATGTTACATAACATTACATTATTTTAGCAATATAAATTTGTATGTGCAACAATTTGATAAATTATTATTATTGTCATACACAAATTGATTAAGTAGATTCATATTAAGTGTCAATCTGACCAAAAAATGGACCCGAACCATTTTTATATATGATTAAGAAGGTGCTAATAATAAACTAGCTCAAAATGGAGGCACGGTAGTCTAGTGGTAGGACGCCGGGCTATAGGAGGCACTGTTGTCGAGTGGTAGGACGCCGGGCTATAGGAGGCACGGTAGTCTAGTGGTAGGACGCCGGGCTATAGGGGCACGGAAGTCTAGTGGTAGGACGCCGGGCTATAGGAGGCACGGTTGTCGAGTGGTAGGACGCCGGGCTATAGGAGGTACGGTTGTCTAGTGGCAGGACGCCGGGCTATAGGAGGCACGGTTGTCTAGTGGTAGGACGCCGGGCTATAGGAGGCACGGTAGTCTAGTGTTAGGACGCCGGGCTATAGGAGGCACGGTAGTTTAGTGGTAGGACGCCGGGCTATAGGAGGCACGGTAGTCTATTGGTAGGACGCCGGGCTAAAGGAGGCACGGTAGTCAAGTGGTAGGACGCCGGGCTATAGGAGGCACGGTAGTCTAGTGGTAGGACGCCGGGCTCGTGACTGAAGGGTTGCGGGTTCGAGTCACGGCATGGCACTGTGTTGTATATTTGAGCAAGAAACGTTACTTCGCTTGTTCCAGTCTACTCAGCTGTAAATGAGTACATAGTTGGGCAGTGCTAGAAGTGTAGAATGCTAGATGTGAGCGCCGGAAAGGCAGCACAGACTGTATGCTCCCCAGGGAGTTGATAAAGATATTGGCTGGTTGTTAAGGCCATATAACCACAGATAAAAATTTGCGAACGGCTTTGAGACTACCTACGAACTCGGTTGTGATAAAGCAATATATAAGAACCTCGAATTATTATTATTACAACATATTACTGCTAACAATCCTATTTTTGTCGGACACATTATTCCTTATAGTCAATACTTCATCCTAAACATCACCATAAGTGATTAATTTTGCTCTGCAATAAGTAGCTAACTTCCGTTAGATGTTCTTCAAGGAGAAGAATGTTGCAAAGAAGATTTATTTTCAGATAACTAGGTCAATCCTCAGACAACAATACATTATCATCATAACACAAAACACGGTGTCCTGTTCCTTGTATCCTTGAATCCTCGGGTGGTTTATTATTAGTTATCTCTGGGTCCAAAGGCGAGGGGTCTGTAAGACTAAATGTGTCTATAAGCTAGTAGACTCCTCCTAATCCAGAGATAACGAATTTGTCACCCTGGCAATCTGATATTATAATTTTCCTGCAAAATTGCAAGTCACTTTGTGAGTTCGAGGTGTATTTGACTGCTACCAAAATAGCCCCTACCGTACATCTTTTCTGCAATATTTCGGATAATACACAACCATCTTTGTAATTAGCACCCTAGCAGCACCCTCTTTGCATGTTTCGTTGAATTTGCTGTCGTTCTAGATTGCATGTAGGTGATTTCATCATGTGAATGATTCACAAATCTCGAACGCTTGTGTGTGTCGGACGCCATCTTTGTTGTTATGAAGAGAGATTAAAATTTGAGTTATCTCCCCTCGCACGTGCTTTTATAGACTCCGGCAAAGCGGGATCTATAGAAATATGCACCCCGCGTAGATATCCAATCAGAAAGAGTGTTAAAAATAGGAAGGGTGACAATAGTCTTTATCCGAAAGTATAGATAAATAGTACACTTTTATTACTGTACGACGTGCCTAAAGGTTACTGTGGCGTCTTCAGTTAGGTTCATGAGCTCAATTTCTTCAATCAATACTATAGTTCGATTTTTATACATTCTCCCATTCTTTCGAACACGCAGAGCCTGACATTAACCGGGGAAGGCAGCTAAGGTATGCTATGATGCTTATGTATATTCGACTGGACTTGGATATGCGAAGCTGGCTGAACTTAATTATGGTGAAGGAGAAGAATGAAAACAATGCGTGATTGTGCCAAGACTTTAAGACATTAAAACCTCTCTAAAGGTGATACTGGACGACTTTTGATATTGCGTCACCGGGACGGGACGGAGGAAGCACTGTCCATGCCCACAGGCCAAAGTCACAGGCGTGGTGTGGGAGTGCGGTATCCCTTCTTCAGGAGGTGCCATAGCGTAAGGTGTGTTGAAGAGTTCCCATCCTTGGAAGGTGATACCTCGGTGCAATCATAGGACATTCTGGTGGATGAGTCCACAAGTCTTTGAAGAAATCCTCTTTGTTGAGGGTTAAACTTCTTTTCCTCTGGAAGTAAATTCTTTTTACTCCTCCGTTTATGCTCTTCACAGTAGAGATCGGTGTTCCCCGGCCATGCTGTTGGTCAGACTTAGCCATTTACCGCTTGCATCTTTGGCATATGGAAGTGATCACCAAGGATACTAGCCTATCATATGGCGGTAAACATGACACGGTTGAGATAAATGTATGCCGCAATCACACCTCCGAACCTGAAAAAACCCACATAATAATACTTTAGTGTAAGGCGTTTTATGAGGCATTTCTTTGTCATCGTTAAACATATCAGTGTCAAAGAAACGTTTTTAGGTCACCTGAGCTTTGCTCAAGTGACCTATTCTAATCGCTTTTCGTCCGTCGTCGTCCGTCGTCCGTCGTGCGTCGTGCGTAAACTTTTACATTTTCAACTTCTTCTCAAGAACCAGTGGATGGATTTTATTCAAACTTGGTCAGAATCATCCTTGGTAGATGAGGCTTCAAAATTGTAAAATTGGGATTCCTACCCCAACCCCTGGGGAAAATATTTCAAAAACCTTCTCCTCCAAACTCAGAGGTACTACAGTGATTTTCTCAACTTGGAAAGAAAGATCATCAGGGGCTTTACTTAAATTGTAAATTTCAGGACCCCCGAGCTATCCGTTCTCCCTTGGGGAGGGGGTAAAGTTTACTATAGTTTATATAGGGAAATAACACTTTTGGGTATATTTTGACAACTTTCTGTAGGAAATTATTTTTACTTGGTGAGAATTATCCTTGGAGGTAGATGGTTTCAAATTGTAAAATTGAGATTCCTACCCCGACCCCTGGGGCCAGGGCGGGGCCCCAAAGGGAAAATTAATCAATATTTCAAAAATCTTCTTCTCCAGACTCAGAGGTACTACAGTGATTTTCTCTACGTGGAAAGAAAGATCATCAGGGGCTTTACTTAAATTGTAAATTTCAGGACCCCCGAGCTATCCGTTCTCCCTTGGGGAGGGGGTAAAGTTTAATATAGTTTATATAGGGAAATAACACTTTTCGGTATATATTTTATCCATTTTCAGCAGAAAATTACTCAAACTTAATCAGAATCATCTTGGGTGAATGAGAGTATTACTTTGTAAAATTGGGATTCCTGCCCCATCCCCAGGGGCTAGGGCGGGGCCCCAAAGGGAACATTTACCAATATTTTCAAATTCTTATCCATTGATGACATGACAAGTATTGTATTTCACTTAGTTAACATGCTGATTTCCACATCACATCTAAACAATAAAATAAAGCTACCAGTACCTATAATATAACTCAGGTGACCGCTAAGGCCCTTGGGCCTCTTGTTTTCTAAAACCCGGTACCTCCCTTATACGGTTTGGAATCCTTTTTATCATTTAACCTTCGTGTTGTCATGTAGAGTCGTTTCCATTAGCACTGAAATTATTCCATCCATCAACGCTTTGAATTGGGGATCATATAAGCAGACATCGTCATAAAATCCCATACACGTGTTATGTATCTTTATGCAGTGCTCATCAAGTTCTTTATGGGCGATTCAGTCCATATAGAATGGATTTATGTTCCTTAACATGTTCAGGTTGAATTGCTTTTATTCCCAATCACATAATTTAATCTGGAATATGTTTTAAAGGAAAGATCCATTGACTCAATGTTTGAGAAGAAGAAATCTGCAATAGAACACACTTGCATAGGCTTTTTACGAATAAATTGGGCAGTATGAGCTTCCGCCTCTGTTTTAGAAATATGTTAGAATTAGGGGACCTTTTCCTTGTAAATTTCGAGATTTCTTTTAAATTTTGCACTTCAAATATTATTTCTTATGACATTTTACTTCTCGGATAGGTTATTTATTATTTTGTTATTTATTTAATGCTTGGCTACTTAAGGTCTTTTTTAAGGTCCAACCTTATCTATGACACGAAAACTCAGAGAATAAGACTCTGATTTTTTTTTTTCGTAAAGAAATTCACCAAATCGGTTGCAAAGATAAAATGAATACACCGAAAAACAGTTTTAATGGTTCCTGTCTCATAATTATATACCTACCCATCGATTTGGAGGAGACCATTACATCATGACGGAATTCTGCTCGGTGACCGCCCTTGTTTCTAGGAGGGTATTCAGAGATGTAGCTCCTTTGAATCGTTCGCTTGTTTGTTTGTTTTTAAAAGTATTACGTCCTCTTCATTACCAAGTAATTCAGTTATTCAGCAGACAAATCCTTTGAATTTGAAACTGACGCCTGCGGCCAGGTAGCATTAGCCGTTCGGTGTCATTAATGACACCACAATGCGACGACAATGAATCAAAAACACAGACTCCCTCCACTATGTTTTCTATGCAGTTTATAAAGCAATTACCAGTTGTTTAATGGTACTACGAAAGATCAACACGTACATAAATTATTAATAACACAATATATTATATAATGTCGCCAATAGTTTCTGAAGCGAAGATTTCGAATCACAAGGTATTGAACGGCATGCCCTGAGCTCGGTTATCAGATATTGGCCTTACATACGAATATTTGGCAGGACAAGCCTCGCTAACTGACACGGATCTGCAGATTGATAAGGTGTTGAGTTATATCAATAAGCTACCCACAGGAGCACCCGAAAAGAATCAATTAAGCTTCCCACAGGAACACCCGAAAAGAGTCCAATAAGCTACCTACAGGAACACCCGAAAAGAGTCCAATAAGCTACCCACAGGAACACCCGAAAAGAGTCCAATAAGCTACCCACAGGAACATCAGAAAAGAGTCCAATAAGCTACCCACAGGAACTCCCGAAAAGTGTCAGACGCTGACGTGGTTAAGCCATATTGCTTCTGTGGACAAAGGAACGTTTGAACAGCTTCCACGTTAGTCTGAGAGCTGACGGGTCGAACCCATGCACTGCCAGACTGTTTTGGAGGAGTCCGTTATCAAGCCTTATTGGTGTCACGTAGACTTTCGGTATGTTAACGGGTCTAACACGGAGCTTGTAGGCTAATATTGCAAGGTACACGTCGTCGTAGATAAACCTCCTTGTGTATTGGGTAGCAAAGTGCAGGTCGATAACGAAGTTCATGGTCATGATTAAAAATCCTCCAGACGGCATCGGGGGATAAATAGCATAGGGATAATCCTGATTAGACACGTACCACTTATCTCCCTTTTGTCGCTGAGGGTACTGTACATCTATGTGGCCTCCAAAATAGGTCGGTCCTGTCACTTTGGTGTGTATAAAAGAATACAATGATTTGATAGATACCAGCATATCGTCATCGACAAAAACTACAAACTTGGCGCGGTTACAGTGCTGTACGGTCCAGTGAATCGCTCCTGTCGTCTTTAATGTGTTGTTATAGTAATTATCAAGAAATGACATTCGGACGATATCGTTGTATTTACTACTCTCCGTTTTAATTGCTGACATGACCGACTTTTTATCAGAACTGCCAACCAAAAATATCCGAATGAAGTTATATTTCTTTTGAAGTTTAGAATGTGCCCATGTCTCTCTGATCGCCGCCCTATTTTCATCATTCGCAACAGCGGATTTGATAAGAAAGATAAAAAACGGTGTACCAGACATACATTTGGCTATTCGATGGTGAGTAAAGTTATAGCTGTACGGAAATATAGGTTTATGAGCTACAGGTATGTTTGATTTTAGTTTTCTTACGAGCTCAACCATATCAACATCGAGCGGGTATCGGAATTTTGTCCACTGGTCCTTTGGACTATCTTCAACATTGACCTTTGATGTATTATTCACACGAGGTTTGTCTAGTTTCACCGACGAATCATTCGCACGAGATGTTGGCTTGTCCACTTTCACCATTGTTCTGTTTACACGAGATGTTGGCTTGCTTGTTGTCTTTGACAAATCATTAACACGCTTTGGTTGATTGTCTGTTGTCACTATCAAATCGTCAACACGCGTTTGTGGAGTTTCTGTTTTCACTGACAAATCGTCAACACGCGTTTGTTGAGTTTCTGTTGTCACTATCAAATCGTCAACACGCGTTTGTGGAGTTTCTGTTGTCACTGGCAAAACGTCAACACGCTTTTGTGGAGTTTCTGTTGTCACTGACAAATCGTCAACACGCGTTTGTGGAGTTTCTGTTGTCACTGACAAATCGTTAACACGCTTTTGTGGAGTTTCTGTTGTCACTGGCAAATCGTCAACACGCGTTTGTGGAGTTTCTGTTGTTACTAATGATTCTTTAGCAGGAGAATGGGAATTGTTTAATTTCAATAATGTATTATTAACATGCGATGGTGGCGGGTGGGGCCCCTTAATTATATTTAGGTTCGTCTTGGTGTTCCCTTTAATGAGTTTTACATTGTCTGCAGTCGCTGATCCGTTTATATTCTTTGATGTAAATTGAATTCTTATTTTCGGGATGTATAATATATCCAGATCAACAGAGGATGCATTTCCTTTACTTGACGAGAGTATGTCGCTGGTCGTCGTCCAGTGATAGTTAAGGCGGCTGTAGTTTGTTGTTTGGAAGGTTACATACTCGATGTTCCACAGTACCAGTATGACGGAGAAGAACATAAGAGCCAGTAGACTATACTGTATCCCTTTAACCATAGTCGACATCCTGAAACAGGTAAACACGACTGATTGAAACGTGATCTTCCATTTTTGTGTCAAGTGTGTGTACAGCTAAGTGCTATTTCATATGAACAGTTAGACGGAATGTTATAAATATCTACATAACCTGGAACTTTACGAGTGACAGGTAATTAATGTCATAATAAGATTATTAATCATCATACCCAATATAGATGACGTCACATGAACGTCTTGGACGTCTTGAAGATCAATATTTACACTCGGTGGTTTCACTTGAAATATACCTAATTTGTTAAAAATATATGAGAAGAAATTACTAAACAATTCATAACACAACCAACCATTCTTACCCATCTTAGACAAATACACGTTAAATCTACACAACCAAAACCATAACAAGCACAGACACACCCACACTCACACCGAAACAAATATATGCACACCAAAACCCACATCGACACAAGCACATACACACCCACACCGACGCACGCACATACACACCCACACTCACACCAACACAAATATATACACCAACACATACATATACACACTCACACCGACACAAACACCGACACCAGCACAAACATATACACACTCACGCCTACACAAGCATATACACACTCACACCAACACAAACATATACACACTCACGCCTACACAAGCATATACACACCCACACTCACACCAACACCAACATATACACACTAATACCAACACAAGCATATACACACCCACACTCACACCAACACAAACATATACACACTCACGCCTACACAAGCATATACACACTCACACCAACACAAACATATACACACTCACGCCTACACAAGCATATACACACCCACACTCACACCAACACCAACATATACACATCACGCCTACACAAGCATATACACACCCACACTCACACCAACACAAACACCGACATCAAAATAAACATATACACACTCACACCAACACAAACACCGACATCAACACAAACATATACACACTCACACCAACACAAACACCGACACCAACACAAACATATACACACTCACACCAACACCAGCATATACACACTCACACCAACACAAGCATATACACACCCAAGCTCACACAAACACAAATACCGACACCAACACAAACATATAAACACTCACACCAACATAAGCATATACACACTCACACCAACACAAGCATATATACACACCCACACTCACACAAACACAAATACCGACACCAACACAAACATATACACACTCACACCAACACAAGCATATACACACTCACGCCTACACAAGCATATACACACTCATACCAACACAAGCATATACACACACACACTCACACAAACACAAATACCGACACCAACACAAACATATCCACACTCACGCCTACACAAGCATATACACACTCACACCAACACAAGCATATACACACTCACACCAACACAAACATATACACACCCACACTCACACCAAGACAAACACCGACACCAACACAAACATATACACACTCACACCAACACAAGCATATACACACCCACACTCACACCGACACAAGTACATATACACCCATACTCACACCGACACAAACATAAACATATTCACACCGACACAAGCACATACACACCCACACTCACATCAACACAAACATATACACCAACACCCACACCGACACACGCATCCCCACATACACACTTACACCGACAAAAGCATATACCCACTCACACTCACACCAACACAAACACCGACACCCACACAAACATATACACACTCACACCGACACAAGCATATACCCAATCACACCAACACACACACACACACACACACACACACACACACACACACACACACACACACACACACACACACACACACACACACACACACACACACACACNACACACTCACACAGAAACAGACATATACACACCCTCACCCAGACAAACGTTAATAGTATAATCAGATCACTCTGCAAAACAAACATATCCACAAAAATCAATAAGGAATTTGTGAAAACCCAATATAAGTCACACATAAGCCTTTAATTATTACATTTACATTTTGGTTATATTTCGTTTTAGAAATAATAACATTTACTCTTCAGGTATTACCTTTGAACAAAATAAGAAAAAGAAAAAAAGATATTATTCATAGTAACTCAACACAAAAAAACCGCTATCACGGATACCGGCCGGTAATCTACACAGTTACATGGACGATGCAATAGAGATTGGGACGCTACCTGTAAGACACATGTAAAGGAAAAATCAATACATATTTATAAATATGTGTGTGGTTACGAAATAGACAAAACTCTGACAACCCAATTGGGTCATACTTTCTCGCACCTCAGAAAAGAATCCCAGGTAGTCGCCCGTGCTAGATTTTTCTATCTCGTCAAATCTGTCTGCCACCTTCCCGCGACATTTCACGGAATTTTCACACAGCCATCTATTAAACAGCACGCTAACGCTCGAAATTAACCGCATCATACATATGTTTCATAAATAACTGTTTTGTAGTGATATGTATTGTTTTTATATTGTGCATAACATCAAATCTACACTGTGAAAAATGTTTTCTTCTTTGAAAGGACAGACTACATTATTTACGTGGAGACATTCAAACGATGCTTTAGAAGTGAATAGGCCATATTTATTTGAGGCCCAAAGACTTTCTTTGGACTATAAAAATTTAATGATTTTCAGAACTGAAAGGTGCGAAAAAAAATCCCAGTAACTAAGCGAGATCGGGTTTTCTCCCACACTTCACAAGTACATTCCGGTTTTTGGTAGGGAAAAGATAAATCTGTCTTGATCTACCTCGATCAAGACAACTGACACGCGCTATTACGTCACAGACAACGCACTTCTTTCAACATGACCTGTGACCCTGTACACTTTTAGCAAAACCGATTACGTCATCACTTTTTACACACATGCATAATACACATGCAAACAAAACATGGCAAGCTCAGCATTCCGACATTTCTAAATAGGCGAATGTGTTGCCGAAGGAAAAAAGTGTTGATTAATTTAATTGATGATAGTTCGGTGCATTGGGGTCAAAAATACAACTTCGCAGTGAAGGTACTGCGAAGGTATTTTTTACGGTATGTAAATGTGGGAGAAAAATAATCAATCACACCTGTGTGATGTAGACAAACATATCTCAACCCTCGGGATGAGATAGTTTTTAGGTTTAGCACTCGGCAAAGCCTCGAGGTAAACATAAAAATAAAAATCTCATCCCGAGGGTCGAGATATCTCTTTCTACATCACACAGGAGTGATAGATTCTATTAATTTCAGTCGCGGGCTAAAATTGTGTAACAGCCCAGCCTTACCAGCAGTGGCGGATCCAGAGACCTATCTGGGGGGGGGGGGGGGGGGTTCCATGTGGGGGAAAATTGAGGAAAATGGTGAAAATACATGATTTTTAAAGGAAATTATCAGGGGCGGGTTCCTGAAGGCCAAAAAAACCCTCTGGATCCGCCACTGCTTGGCTTACGCCTTTGTTGGGTTAATGCTACATAATATATTGTATCAGTTTAGAGTGTGTTTGGGCTGTTCACTGGACAATTCACCGAGTCTTTGTTACCATTTCTACGTGTGTTATCAACAATATCTTATTAGATCAAACGAAAGTTTTAGATTTTTTCTCTGTTTTATATATTTTTCTCTGTTTTCAGTTAAAGTCGATAATTGTTAATGGGATCCTTCTATATAACAGGAGACAATATTAACACTAATTATACTAAAACAATGAGTTTGAAGTCAATATATGTTATCCTTACCTTAATGAATGCTAATCTATCCATATATTGTTGTCGGCTACGTCCGGTGTTCGTATGTTGGTAGGTGTTAGAATATGTTCTCGGTAAAATGTGTGTAACACCTTGTATCACGGTACCACACCATACTGTTATCACTTCATTGTCACACCCTCTTCCCCAGGCTTACTTTGTCTACGTGTCGGTGCGTCGTCTGTACAGACCAACTTTAATCGTAACACACATGCAGATATATGAATACATATATCTACATGTATTTAAATATTCTAGATGGAATTAGCCAAGTAGAAAGGAATAAACGTTTAGTCACGGGAAGCTTTTTTGACCCAGATGCTGGTTTGGAAGCATGTTCGTGTGACAACTTATATTTATTATTTAACCTGTGTAAAAAAATGTTCATGATTTACACCAAGGAGCTACATGAAAACTGAAGTATATGTAAAAGTAACCGTTAATCAATGTCAAAGTAGTCCAGGTCGCCTTGTCAAGCTCATTTGAATCACATATTTTTGCTAAACGATAAAACATGGAAATATGGCGTACAATGACAGTAATATGACACAAAACGTAAATATTTATTGTATAATTATTCTTACATTTCATTGTTAAACATACCTGGAACTAGTAATATTTGACGAGAAGGTCATATAACGTATTCAGCCTTTAGATATAGCAGCCAGTGTTTGGTGATTTCTTTCTGGGAATAATAAAGCGACCTATACGAGACTACTAGCTGAGTTTTATGTGTTATATGTGCGTTAAAGTACAAGTTACGATTCTCTCGCTGGTTCTTCTACATCGATTCATCACACAAAGCTGTGAGATGGATGTTTATGATATTGAACTAGTTAATTGTTATATGTCACGTTGTATTTAGATGCATTGACTCAGAGTTCGGATTGTGTTGTCAGAGAACATGACGCATTCTCCAAGCTGCACACTTTTAGTCCGGCCACATTAACCCTCTCACCCCTAGGTAACTTTAGTAGACTCTATTATACACTTATCTGGATGAGTCCATGCTGGTCTACAGTGGTAGTATCTAAGAGTGAGTAGAGTGATCAATCATGCTCCCGATACATTTTATAATGTTAATATACATGGGCAAAGATCATCACGTTGCAGCGAAGAAATCATTGAAACCGTGTCTCAGTAGTTTGCATACTATCAAATTTAGTTGCATGACTTGGTAATATATTTTATATAGTGTAATATTTGTCATTAATGATTGATCTCTTATTCAAAATGTCAACTAAATTATGTATTATTAATGAAGAACGTAGATGTATGTCTACATATTTAAATTCTGTGTTGCATTTGCCTATGTGTCGTTAGTAAACCGAATTTCGGTATACTGAAAGGGCCTGTTTCCAGTAATGTTAATTCTCCATAGGAGCCTGCCCCCGTATAATTTCTTATCTAGCTCAACTACTGTTTTTTTCTTTTCCGAAGAATAATTTTACACCTTTCCGACACCCAGATTTCATAATTTCAGTGAAAATGTATTTTTATAAAGTTGTCAATTTCAGCATCAAAGACATAAGTTCGTAAATAAAAGAAGGTTATCTCGAAATTGTAATTCGCAACATAGTATAAATTTCTTTTGATAAATATTTCCAAAACATCGTGTTTATTCATAAAACAAAAAAAAAAATATTCTCGGATGAAAATGCACTTGCAGAGACACAATTATGAAGAAAAATGCCATAAAATTGCAATTTTCTCCCGTTATATAGTTTTGGATGCAAATTTCCATCAGAAAATCGGATAGAGCTTTACTTGTTTCATATGTGTACCAAAAATCAGCTAATTCCATGTGGTGGAACGTTCTCATATCGCCGCCTGAATGTGGTTGTAAATTGAAAGAAAAGGGGAAATGAGTAACAACCTTGTCTGAAACCCTATTATATAGCTTATTATATACAAACTTTTATATTGAATATCAGAGCGGATATTTTCATGACAGTTTTATGATGTGTAACGACTAAATAAACAGTATCGATATAAAGATTTACACTGAGGACACCCTGATACATGAATACTGTTCTATCTCAAGTTGTCCTCTTCTGAATTTTCTGATCGTGTGGCCTTGTACATTTATCCGTATCTTCTTGTCTTTGTCTATACGTTTACGGAATCATTGACTCGACGCTAGCTATTCTTGTCTCACTTTCCTTGTTTTATTGTCCCATCTCCAAAGCGTTGTGGCTCTGTCAGGGTTGGGACCCTGACTTGTCTCACTTTCTTTGTGCCTGCCGACCACGCCACATCGAATAGATAGATTATCCATATGAAATACTTTATTTTGTTCTAAGTAATCAATCAATTCTGCGCTTCTTGGAGGTATTGAATGTGATTTATTATATTGTCTTGTTATTTTGTGTAATTAGTTGTTCGTTATTTATCACACATTTTCGCATAATTGTACCAAACTACTAAGTATTAGCTGTTTACAGCAATCATCGGTGGCTTGCTATTTTGTTACTTTATCGACGCTTCATAAACCAATCGTTATTGTTTCAAGATGGAGGGTAAATGTGTTGGAGAAGGGTGTCAAGTATACTTCAAGAAACGTAGTGGCAATAAGAACAGAAGTGCACGCAATGTAAATAGTCCACAATATAAATGGCTCCTAGATACGCTGGTGCAACAAGGATTGATGTCAGCAAAGGAACAAGCACTTATTTGCCAGAAGTGCTACATGAAGTATCTTCGGAACAAAAATCAGCCTGAACCTGAACCCGAGCAGAACCAGGAAATAGAGGAAGAAGACGACTCCCCGTCCCATATCCTGCCGTTGCTGACCCTTCATGATCTTTTGAATGGATCATCTTCACACAAAAAATGCTGTCTCTGTCTTGTTACCTTTGCAAGAAATGGAACAAAATCATCAGTCTTACCAAAACGTGCAAGACATCACCTGATCTATTCACACAAACTGTGGTGTCCCACCTCATCCCGCGTCTGCTCCATTCACCTTATTGGTAACGACTTAGATCCGTCTACAGAGGTTGTCCTTGATGGTAGAGGTTCCTTGGAATCTCAGTTACCATCAAAATCGTCCGAAATCATTAATGACCTCCTAGAGGTGTCGCACGTCCTTTCACAGAACCAGTCTGCGTTTACAATAAGCTTTTCTTCTCTTGATGACTCGGCATGCATACCTGGACAGGTTGGTCCAAAAGATCAGTTCCTCGAAATCCACTCGCACTGTTCCCCATATCTTTCATCTGGTATATATACCAAGACTACACACGATGCTCTATTACTGTTCTGGGTAAAACTGAAAACCGACATTTCCTGGAGTCAGTGTTCTTCTCTTTTTGGAATTTCCAAGTCAAGTGTGTCCAAAACTTTCCACTCCATAGTACAGGCATTAGACACATCGATAGTCCCACAATTTCTAGGTCCGGATCACTTGACAAGAGAACAGTTGCTCGGGCACAATACTGTCTTTTCAGAAGCATTTTTTGGAGATAAAGCCACTGCCATATTAGATGGCACCTATATTTATATCCAGAAAAGCTCCGACCACAAGCTCCAGAGAATGTCCTACTGTGGCCAGAAGAAGAGAAACTATCTCAAATTCATGAGCATCGCCTTACCAGATGGCTACATTCTGGACACAGTAGGACCATTCACTGGCAGCGAAAATGATGCTACAATTACAAAAAAAGTCATGGACAAGCTAGTTACTTGGCTACAACCAGACGACAACGTTGTCGTTGACCGAGGTTTTAGAGATGTCCTACCAGTTCTCGAAGCCTCTGGCCTCAATGCTAGCATGCCGTCATACCTGAAACCCGGTCAAAGTCAACATTCTGACGTCCAAGCAAATCTTGACAGAACTATCACCAAATCGAGGTGGATTGTGGAATCCTATCATGGTCGTCTGAAACACTGGACGTTCTTCCGAACGCAATTGGTGTCTAACAGCTTTATCAATGTCATCGAGGCTTTGCTTCGAACCGTCACAGCCTGTCTGAATGGTATTAGAGGACCGATCTACCAGAGATCTCCAGAGAGAGATGCCAAAGATAGGCTAATGGCTGAACGTATGAAGGACCGTTTGACAACACCGAATGGTTTAGCTCAGAGAGTCAAGACAGATCCGGATCTATCTAGACGGGCAAGGTCCGAGTTTGTCAAGATGGATGCATCTTCCGTACTGTTTCCCCGTCTCGATCTTGATTACTTGAGAACCATTACGTGTGGAACGTATCAGATATCTCTGGCTCCTGGTTACATCGCCGAACATTTAAGTGATGACGGAGACTATGAGGTGTGGCTTTACCAGCACTCCCCAGACCTTCTCCGATGTCAAATACATTCTCGACACAAAAGCCAAACGAAATATAACGTTTGGATACGGTTCACCGTTTCACCCGATGTTGAGGCCCCAATAAAGGACTACTACTGCCAGTGCCCAGTTGGAGAGAGAACGATGGGAATGTGTGCGCACATCTCCAGTATCTTGTACTACCTTGGGTATTACAGGACGCTGGAAAACCCTCGACCATTACAACCACAGGTAAAGAAATTCCGACAAAACTTGAAATAGTTTTCCATGCGGCAACGGAGTGCATATGTCGAAAGTATGTTTGGGGCTCGATATGAAAGATCCCCGTTACCATGTGACTAACCAAACTTATAAATATAGGTATTATACAATCGCCCGTAGCTATGAACACTCCCGTAAATGCGAAAACCAACCAAAATCATAAGGAACACGTTTTGTTTGTTGTTCTGTCTATTTGTCAGCCAATGTCTTCAACCACGGGGACTTGTGAAGTAGCCATCTTGGATTTTTTTTATGAAAAAGTGTTTCTCTCACTTTTTTTCATATCTGTGTACATATTCTCAACATACCGAGCAAATACTCTCGTTTTTTTGTTAATTATCTAAAGAAAGTCGAAAATCGGCAATTCAACCATAGGCTAATTCAACCCAACATTTGAAAATGTTCCACCACTTACATTTTGATGATTTTTCCTCTCATCAATAGCATATTACGTACTGTTTAATAGGATAAAAATTGGTTTGCATCCAACGCCCATAAAAGGGTGTATTCTCTAAAAAACACAGTTTTTGTGTCTAAAATGTTATCATCGAAAATGGCATTTTTGAGATTGTTTCTTCCATAAAACAGCCAAATGGCGCGATGGAAACATGATTTTTTGTCACAATCATGCCATGAATGTATTCTT